TCCCCCCAATTCAAATAATCCTGGATATTTTTAATATTGTGACGAATTTTTAGATCTTTATATGTCCATCTGACATGAAATTCCACATAAATGATCACACTAATACACCTTTTACACCGGGGTAGGCGAAGGTGTTAACACTTAGGTCGAGGGGAGCTGGGGGGGTCTGGGACGTCCAACACGGGACTAAGTGACCACAAGGGCCCCTAACATGTATGAGTAAAATATCGCAAGGGCAGTGTAGTAGCCAGAGGCCGTGGTTTAAGCCAGACACAACACTCGCCTGCAGCTCGACAATACACTCGTAATATATTTCACGTACAGCTCTGCGACTCGTATTGTATCTATCACATACTAGCCTACTACATGTATAGTACAACATCTGTCAACTTTCCTCAATCTGTCAATCACAAATTAAGCACTTGTCAGATTTTCGCGGTATTGACTGTGAAGTTGACCAAAGGGTGGCCAAGACCGTTGACATGAGCGCCATCTAGCGTCAAATCGAGTTTTGGCTTCGACTAGTTGCGTTTTGACGACTACTAGTCGTATTTTGCCGACTGATCTGATAACGACGACGACTAATCGTGTTTTCAATTCGACTAATCTGATAACGACGACGACTAATCGTGTTTTCAATTCGACGAATCTGATAACGACGACGACTAATCGTGTTTTGAATTTTTGTATAAACCGCCGCCACTAATCCTCTTAGAATGGACCGTTGATAAAACACCTTATGCTGTCGGAATTTTAAGTGACATGTATTAGAATAAGTCAACTGTCCTAGACTTAACGTTTGTGGTTAAGTTCAGAGTTGTCACCTCTCAGCAGCATTATTTACATACGTGTACGTATGTTAAGCCTCTCTTCTGGTGCTTACTTCATACAGAAGTTTAATTCACGTATTACTGCAGTTCAAATCACAGCAACGGAAGCGATGGTTGTATTAATCAGGGCCCATTTACAATAAAGCTATCACTCAACTCCGAGGGGGACTCTCGCTCAGATTAAGATATTGACACGCTTTCTAATGGCGTTGAGTATAATATTGAGTAATGATCATTACGGAGCACGCCGGTAATATTTACCGGGAAGTTCGACCGAGGAAGTGTTTTTTTTTTTTTTTTTTTTTTTTTTTTTTTTTTTTTTTTTTTTTTTTTTTTGTGAGGAATTATGCTTTGTGGGTTACTTCAAAAGATGAATGTTGAAAACCTTATCATAAACCCAGATACGATTTTAGAGATCAAATCATGCCAGTAGTTACCGTACTTTCCACACAGTGGTTGGTCTAAACGCCGAGATGCGTTTTACTATCCGCAAAGCGAGTTGCTTTGCTAGCCGTATCAAGATTAGTCTAGATATGGCGAGGTCATATTCATGTCACTGACTTTCATTTTTTAATTTTTCCTAATGTATTTTTTAAGTAGCGGGAGACGGAAAACAAATACTTTTTTGGGGAAGAGGATCAGTACAATGTTTGGATTTTTTAAGAAACAGAGGAAATTTTAACAACTGAAGGGTATCAGGGCGTTTACATACAGATTGTGGGTTGTTTTTTTGTCCTTTCATGTACATATTATGTTTACTGTACTCATTAGGAAAGTGGGAAGCTCAATTTCGTATCATTTCTCCTTTACCCCTGTAGTGCTTGATAAAATGTTTTGGATGACGAACAGACTTTTTTTTAGCATTTTACATCGGTATTTTAGTATCTTGATAGTAATAGCTGATCACCAGAAGTCTCCTTTTCACATTTTCTCCCAAAACTACCATGTTGTTGACAACTGACAGATGTTAGCAATACCTTAAGGCAGTGGAAAGATATACGTGGTTGCCCAGTGGCGGATTTAGAGGGGGGTGGGGGGGGGGGTCCTGACCCTCCTTCCCCCCCCCCTTCGATTTCTTCTCCCCTCATGAAATTAGAATTTTGACTAGTTGAATCATACTTCTAAACCTTACCAAATGGCACCGTTCGCCCTTTTAAATACAATTTATTTCTGGGCCATTCAGCGGGTGGAGGGTGGGGGAGGAAGGGTCGGATTCGCATCCGCGAACCCCCCCCCCCCCTTCNTAAAGGACAGGTTTGTTTTGTGTATTCTATTCAAGAGTAATTTGATACAAATGTCACCAGTTTGTTATACTGCTTGATGTAACATTTCCTTGCTCACAATTTATGCAGTAAATGTCATTTATTGTTTGAAATAGCTCGATTATACCAGAAATCAGTTTATGTAAGCTGCTATTGAATTAGAGGATATGAGTTGTGAGCTGACCGATGATAATTTTTTTACACAATCACACACAGTGGCAGATTTAGAGGAGGCATCGCGAACCCCCCCCCCCCCTTCAAATAATCCTGGATCCGCCTCTGGTAGCCGTAGTTTGATTTTGATTACAACTGTTAAAAGTATATTTTGAGGCCATTTTCTAGCCTTCGGCATTTTCCATAAAGCTTCGGCATGTGTGACCGGTATCATATATTGTCAATAACACGCCGTTTGCTGGCCGAGTAGTAACGTACGTCCTTGCCTGCCAAACACGGCGATGTAGGTTCGATTCCCCCTCAGTCCCATTTTATTTCTTTTATTTTTTAAATTTATCATTATTATTATTATTATACTAATCTCTTATCATGGTACAATGATTGATGTGACGGATATCAGCTAATAGAATATAATTTTGATCCTATTCACATTTAATACTATCTTTTTCTTATTTCACTTTTTGTTATTTATTTTATTCATACATAGCATACCATCCTCATTATCTACTTTGTCAAAACCACCCTATCCCACTATTAAACCACCAATCACCCACTTCATCCTCTACATGTCGACAACTTTCTTTACAACTTTGGTTTTACTTCTTATGATTACTGTGCGCTATCCTCTACCAGAACCTTGACACAGATTGATTTTTCACTAGATAATTACTAATATGTCTCTGGTTAAATTGGCGGTTATCTCTTCACTGAGAAAAAAAAACCCACATAATAAAATATGCGGCGGTAAAGGGTAACTGTACTCATGGTTACAGTAAGACACTCCATCCATTGTCATGCCTTTTGTCCACCTTATTCTGATTATAATTAATGTTTAATGTGGGCAATATAAATCATTTGGATATTATTCACACCAAAGTGTGACATGTTTAAGTATATATATATATATGGCCGGTCTGGGGCGGCTTATGACGCACATCTCACGTATCCCACTGCCCATCTTATTCTGATTATGTATGTCAAATATAAGATTAATAATCACCAGCATCGAATACCATATAGTAATGAGACGAACAGCGCATTAAATACTAAAACCAATGCTGATCAGATGTTAAATTACTACCTGCACATCCAACGCTGACCTTTGCACAAATAGAGGTATTGTTTGTGAAGATGTTCATTTCTCAGAACGATGTTGGAAAAGCGGGACAAATGCCATGAAAGAGATAACAACCGGTAAGTCGTTTGCTTTCTAATAATGTCGTCTACTTTTTGTTGCTAGGGTTGTCGTCGACGTGGTAATTTTGTATTACCTGGATGAATTATGCCATTATGCCACGTACATATACTTGATAATTCATTCCTGAAACGTGAGACTAGACTGGACGAACCTGAACCCAGTTTCATCAACACTGAACAGCGCTATCCACTGTTGATGAAACTGTGCCCTGATTTAATAAGTTCAAGAAGACAGCATGTGTGGATGCTCTAGTTTCGATGTCGTGAATACAAATATATAAATTATATATTAAAATAATATGAGTTGAATACTTGACGTAGTTTCTTATATTTTCAGGAAATATGGGACATTTGGTGTCTCAAAGAAAACTGTTGGCGTGGTGCCAAAATCCATGGAAGCAAAACTTCATCCTGTTCACAGTATGGACGGTAATTTTGATACTGTACCTAACATTCTCTGATACTGGGAAATCACTGCTAGAATCTTGTAGTCTTTACTGGAAAAAAGTGGCACCAGTTGATTCAAATTCTACCGCCATAGCAGTTTTACGTAATGCTGATTTATTCAGCAGCACACAACCATATTTTTATCGGAACAATGTTTCTGAAACGACCACAAGTTTCAGTTCAACCTCAGGCTTAAGCATAACTGCAAGCTCAGGCACATCTTCAAGATCGAGCCCGACAACAAGCACGAGTCCTCTCCCTACAGGCTCACCAATAGTGGACGTTTACAAAAGAGCCAAGATGGTAAAATCAGCTTGTAACATCACCGCTTCTCAAAATGCAGACGTCAAAGCTGTAACAGAACTGCTGCGAAAAAGACTTGTAGTGCCAATCCAATTCCTAATTGAGGAGAAATACAGGGTTCTTTTCTGTCAAATTTTCAAGGCCGGGTCTACAAATGTCAAACGACTGTTCATTGTAGCTAATAAACAGAAAGACAGCACCACGGATTTAGATTTTATGTCTGACAAAGCTCACGAAGTTTGGCATGAAGAAAGAACCCTATACCAGTACCTCACCCCAACTATAAAGAAATTTGAAGAAACCACAAAGCACCTGCTGGAAAATTACACTAAAGTTCTATTTGTGCGACACCCCTTTGAACGTCTCGTCTCCTATTATCGAATGATGTTTCAATTTTCTTCCTTTGAAGGTGATGATGTCAGTGGGATTTCTTGGTACCTTTTCAATCGCGTTCGGCGTCTGTATCATCGCCCAGAGGTTACACAAGATCGTTCCAAGAATCTCACCCAACTGTTCCCTTTCCGGGATTTTATTCAGTTTGTCATTGACCACTCAAAACGTACAAAAGATGGCACCTGGAATGTTGATGGCTATACTGACACCCACTGGTTGCCTATATCAGAACAGTGCTTTCCCTGCCAGGTGCGCTATGACATCATAGGCAAATTGGAAACCTTCGATGAAGATCTTGACCAAGTAGCAAAACATGTCGGTATTCGCCAGAAAATTCTCTATCCTTCTTCTATGAAACGAAAAACTTTTGGACACGTCAAAGAGGCCTTTAAAACACTGTCGCTCAAGCAGATTGCAGAATTAAAGAGAATTTACAGCCAAGATTTTAAACTTTTTAATTATGAACATGATGAGTGAGGAATACAAGGGTGCAGTGGAATGAGAGTAAGATTATCTTTTTTGACAAAAGAACAGAATATTTATTAAGCTGTAAAACGTTTTATGATATCCACTTTAAATTTTTTTCAGCGGTTTGGATTTTAACGGAATTAATGACGGGTACAATTTTTTAGCATAATATGCTATTCGATAATATGCTAAAAAATTGTACCCGTCATTAATTCCGTTAAAATCCAAACCGCTGAAAAAAATTTAAAAGGCAGGCATTTAACAGACGCTTCGCGCTGGTGTATGTCATACAGCCACTGAGCATAAATATTAATTGGGCGATTCGTATAATAAAAATGCGGGTCGCAGACGGCTTCATGAAAGACGCCATAATTATGTGCTAATAACACTTTCGTCATTCCTACATATATTAAGCATATATGTTGATAATACTTAAAGCTACGGTATCTTAGTTCCCATCTGTCTCGCGCTGGTTGCCAATGATGTGGTCTGGTTACCGTTGTTTAATGAAAATATAATATCTGAAGTGCAGAAATTATTTTATTTTGCTGCTAGTGTTATGTAGAATACGGAAAAGCTGGTGATTATACAAGAATTCGGAAACAAGAGGTGAATTGCTGAAGATTCCAGGAAGTTTTTTTGTTATATGTTTTGTGTTTTGTGTTCCTTTAATCATCCTGATTAAAATGTTGAGATACAGTGACAACTTGTTGGTAAATTGATAGCCTTGAAATAATACACCCTCTCTTTATGCCAGGTCACATTATACATTACAATACATGACTTAAGGTACTAGAAAAATGCCATTTCTTTGGTACCGTCTGCAGTTGGCTGTCTATTGTTTGAATTTTTAAATGAACAATCTTTCATGCATGCATTATTTTGGAATAATTAAAAGTATATTCATTATTGGTCCTTTCGCTGTATAGAATAGAACTACTGGCCAGCATGCTTTTCAGTTTTGTTGAAACCATTTATCAGGATTGTTGTGCTTTGAAAAATTCATATTTTTTAAAAAAACAGCTTCAGTAGAATTAACAACTTCAGCCACTGAAGAGAACCAGTCATTATCGTAGTACAATGACAAGTTTTACTTCAAGGGCAGATGTAGTATAGTAAGAAATAACCACCAGAATCTGAGAATCACGATGCATTTAAACTACACAAACATGAAAATTAAAATGCAGCTGTTTATTGGTGAAGACTGCTTTCATTTCACACATCCTCAAGACTGCTCATCTTTAGCATTGCTGCTATACAGTAATAACCGCATTTTTTGACATATCTTTATCTTGATGCATGGATGATTGTTATCAGATGGTTTATCTTTCTCTTCTGCCACAGATAATCTAATGTATGGTTGATATTCAGGCCCGTAGCCAGGGGGGGTTTGGGGGGTTTGAAAGAACTGCCCCTTTTGGTGGGAAAAGGTCCACTCTGGGTAAAATTTGATCTAGGTTCATGAAGTTTTTTATGGAAAAAGGTCCACTTTTTCAAAAAAGAACTCCCCTTATGAAATTGTTGGCTACGGGCCTGATATTAGAAAGTTCATGAAGGAAAGCTCTTCCATCACACAGTTTTTCCTTAGGCTGAGGCTATCAAGATATCTGCATTGACCTGCCTAGAATGTCCGTTAAAGAAAACTAGTGTCAAATATTTTCTTTTCATTGTTTTTTTTTCTTTCTTTTTTTTCTTTTTGATGCCATCATCCAACATCCATGTCACCAATTCTGGAACTCCTGTTAAGACCCTTTCTCCTCTGGTACAGTCTATGTTGCAGTACAGTGTCTAAGCTCTGTATAAAGGAGTCAGTGAGGCTGGCCAGAGACAGAGGAGGTGCTAGAGATATACATCTATCCACAGTACCACAGCTACTCTGTAACTGACTGATGTCCAGTGCCTAGAGAGAAAATGAACAGAATTTGATGAGTCTACATGAACAGATTTAATCTTAAAATTCTTGAAATGAAACATGTTTTAAAGAATTAACACAGGTCAAATGGTGCAAGTATCCTTTATTTACATTTGTTTTGAAAAATTAATTTCAAGAAAAAAATACAGAGTTATACAGAGGACAAAGAGAGGAGAGGGAGAGAGGGAGGAAGGGAGGGAAGGAGAGACCAACAGCTTAAAAGTGATCCATGAAGCAATCAACCCACCATATTATAGGAGCTCCCAGGGAGCACATCTTGTTCTGCCTGATCATCATGCAAGTCACACATTTCTTTGTACAGTTGTAGCACGGTGAATAATGACTGCTCCCATGCCAGTAGACCACACAGCTGCTCATCTGAAGCACCCTGCAAGATCCTGAAGAAGAAGCAATACCAACATCACACCACAAATTACCTTCACAAAACATTAACATCAGGCAACCTGATTAAATAATCCATCACACTTCTACACTGGATTCTGGTGTGAAATAACCGTTCATGTGACCAAGGTCCAGAAGTGCTGGACCCAAATGTTGCGTTTGACTGATGTAATTTAGTACATAAGTTAAGAATATTCTATTTTATCATCTTATCTACTATATCTTATCAACTATGAAAAAAAACTATTTTATACTAAAAGGCAACCTTTTAGCATTTTCAGTATATTTTTATTTTTTAATTTTCATTTAACTGTAGCTTAGTCTTTTTAAGGTAACTCAAGTTATCTGAATTGTTTCACAGATTTAAAAGAGAAATGTGTTCAACAATGCCACATGGGCAGTGGAATTAATGGACATCTTGTGTCACACAATCTACCTAAATACAAGGAGACACTGACATCTTGTGTCACAAAACCTACCTGATTACAAGCAGACACTGACATCTTGTGTCACACAACCTACCTAAATACAAGGAGACACTGACATCTTGTGTCACACAACCTACCTAAATACAAGGAGACACTGACATCTTGTGACATAATCTGGAAATACTGAAGTCTGCAGCACTGTAGAATGTTGTGAACTAAACACTGTCAGTAACGAAGGGCTTGCTGTCAGCACTGTTAACATAGCTTCCTGGTAGCTTTCATCTTGATGACACTGAAGTATTGGAAAATAAATGATAATTAGATTATACTTTAAAGTTAATGCAAATCATTTGCAGAAATTAAAGTTAGTGATATATTTATAGATGTATGCATCAAACACTCCTTGAAATCACTATCTCTCTCTCTCTGCTCATCATCTCCCTTCTGTCCCTCATTTTTATTGTCTGATTTCACTCTCTCCTCCTCCATCTACAGTACTTCCCTTGTAATATGATCCATTCACCAGCTTCTATCTCTCTCCCCTTCTCTCTCTCCCTCTCATTTCCAAAAAAATGTGTCTTCCTACCTCTGAGAAACAGGTGCTGTATGTGACTTGAGCAACCAAGCAGGAAAAACACATTTCTAAAACCTTGAAAAAGACCAACAAAGTTAGTGGTTCAGTGGCTATATTTTATACATGAAAGTGTATGAACATGTAGATCCAAACTGATGCACAATTCATTCACATTTTATTTATCAAGTGATAAAATTGAGTCAAAATTATAAGATGGAAAATTTAATTCTCTTCTGAAAGAAGATTTTTGTGTACCTCAAAGGATTCTCCTGGAGCCTTCAAAGACTGATGAACTTTTTCCGTAAATAAAGACAAGTACCTGAAACACAGTTTAAGCAGTATACAATCTTTATTTTACACACAGCCAACATTGACATCAAGGAGGGCGCACATGCAGACATTTTTATCAAGGGGTTTTTAAAAAAAAAACTTTGTTAGAGCTCCTTGTTTTAATATTCAGAAACACAAAAAATTCAAACAGATTCAGCGAGATCTGAACAAAATGGATACCCAAGACTCTTTAAATACCGTCTTTCAATTCATTTTAGTCAGCAAAAATGTAAGACTTTGTAAATACTGTTTTTCAATTCCAATTTACCTATGCCCGGCAGATGCACAGACAGCAAAGATGGCTGCCCCAGATATCCACGGTTCAGGGCACGGTGGCTCCAGTGAGAGTGTCTGCCCCAGCAGTCTGAAAGTGAAAATTATCCACTACATGTATATTACGGACAATTTTACGACAAAACTCATTTCATGACAAAGTTTTTAACAGAGTGTATAACTTTTCATTTTAGTCATGTTTAATGATAAATCGGTATTCCTGTAGAGATATATACAACTATTTTATACATAAAAGGAGTGTTATAAAAGGTTTTTTAAAAAAAAACTTTGTTAGAGCTCCTTGTTTTAATATTCAGAAACACAAAAAATTCAAACAGATTCAGCGAGATCTGAACAAAATGGATACCCAAGACTCTTTAAATACCGTCTTTCAATTCATTTTAGTCAGCAAAAATGTAAGACTTTGTAAATACTGTTTTATACATAAAAGGAGTGTTATAAAAGGCAGTACTTATATTTTCTGCTCTGTTTTGTGGCTTACACAATAACTTTTACACAACCACACTTTTAAATAAAAAGTCTACATCTCAATTTCACGTGCAAAACTACTACAAATAACAGTAAATAAGGTTTTCTCAAAGCATAAGGACCGAAATAATTTTTTTACACCATTTGGTCTTAACTTTGTATGTATCTATTGATTTGTGACAGCAATACCAAAACAATCAATCAATCAATCAATCAATCAACCAACCAACCAACCAACCAGTCAGTCAGTCAGTCAGTCAATCAATGTGAACTTACTCTGTTGCCCACATGTACACAGAACGTAGTCTGTTGAAGATAACGAAATGTTCACTACTGGAACCATGGCTGCTGCATAACTCCCTACCCAAAGCCCCTTCAACCACTGGATAGTGCATCTAACATTTCAAAATAATAATAAATATATAAATGCATTTGACTAAAAGAAAATTTTAAAAAAAATTCAGTTTCTATCATAAATTAACTTCATCTATAGTCTACATAATAAAGGCAATTGGGTATGGCAAAGCTCTCAAAAAAAAGCTTTCAGTTTCTAGCCATGAGCATCAGTTTAATATAATTAGACAATGTGAAACAGCATGGATATTTCAAACATATATTATATCTGCATGAAGTGTGTTCATGTTGACAATATTATGTCTATTATAATAAAATATTCACTATCATATCATAGGCATTATATGAGGGTTAAAACTCAGGTAAAACATTGGCTTAAGTATATTACTGAACAAAATGTGTATACGTACCTGCAGTCAAAAGCGATACAAATCTCATCAAATATTAATAAGTTTAAGGCAACAGACTTTGTAGTAGCAAATATATAATATGCCATATGCTGCCTTAAACAAAAACATCATATTATGACTGCATCTTTTATTCATTTACAGTGAGTCTTTGTATTGATTTCTATGGAAAATAAGAAGGGATATCAACAGAATTCTATATGGTGTTCAAAAACGTCTCATTTATTCTTTACATTGAGCTTTTTCAAGACTTTTTTCTTTTTCAGTTAATCTTAAAATAGACATTTAAATACCTTTGAATCATCAAATTAATTTAATTCAGTACCAAAACAATGTTTTGGGAACAGACTTAATTCATTTTGATCCAGTTGAATAATTTAGTAATCAGTTGATTTAGGAAACAATTTAATTAAGCAGCCAGAATTAACATGTAAATAGTTAACCGTTGCCTAATTATACTTAATCTTGGCATGCACACACATGCACACACACTCACACGGGTACATATGAAAATTAATATCTAACTTACCACTGCCATGATGTGCACAATGAATTTGTTAAAAAACACAAGAAAAAGTTAAACACAATAAATACAGAAAAATAAATCATCTGTTAATTGTGTTAGGAAAATTGAAACAGAATCATAGACCCCATTCCCATAGATTTTAGATCGATCTATCCCTGTGGGGAGTCTCACTAGATTACTGTCAGCTTAGCTGGCTTAAGCGTCTGTCCCACCTACTAAAAGCTGTAAGGGGGTAATTAACTATGGTGCGTGCTCGGCCGACTGCAATTTAGTGTGAACCCCCAGGGAGTTAGGTTGATCTAAATCTAAATCTCTGGATTGATCTAAATCTCTGGGAATGCACTCATAGAAAAAGTATGAATAAAAATAAAATAAAAATGAAATAGTATCACTTACTATCAAGGAGACCACTATAAGTGGAGACTTTCCAAAACCTTGATTCAGTACAGCGCTGTTTAAACTTTGGCTTCTTTGTGAGCACAATGACAGTAATCCCTGGAGTAAGATGAAATTTAACATAATTTTTAAATCTCTGATGAAAAGAGTTACATGATCTGTTGTTTGAAGAAACTTGTATTTTAACTTCAGCTATGTAAAACTTATTAAATTTTTGCCCAGAATAAAATATTGATACCTGAATAAATATTGATAAATGCATAGATATTATTATTATTCAATGAATAGCATAGAATACAAGTTAACATCCAGGAATGTGAGCTCAGACAAAATTTGAAATGTCAAGATGTCATCACCAAACAAAACACAATACAACATAATTGCTAATCTTGTAAAAATATTATACTTACCCTCACAAAGTAAAGAGTCAGAGACCAAGGTAAAACTATACCTTCGCAACAAAAATTTCTCTGAAATTGACAAATTGAAGAGCTTTCTGACCATCTACTTAACAAGAACATGCATATTTCATTTTTTGTATAACCTTAAATATAATATTTCTTAAGATTCTTAAAATTCAAATAATTTTGACTATAAAGGCCTTATCAATGGATAAGATCTGTTAGATAACCTTTCTTGAAGCATAAATTCATTCAAAAAGAATTCATTTCCCAATAAGAATAAGCCGCTGTAAGTCTTGCCTTCCTTCATTATTATTATTATTTTTACTGGTATTTTTATTATTGAGTATGTTATATTTAAAAACGTGATTGTTAATTACTTTATATCTTACCACGTATGTGTTTATTAAGTGTACAGAGGCCTCCAGAGTAGCTACAGTAAATGTGCTGCTCCACAACTCATCAACGTAGAATAGGTATGGAGACAATGACGCAGCCACTCTGTAGATAAAAACAAGAAAAATATAAATAAAAACAAAAACTTGATTTTGTAATAAGTGGAGGCAAAATTTGTCTTTGATAAACTTGCCATATCCATTTCAGTTGTGTTGCCTCATTTTCTTTTTCATGTTTTTTAAATCCTACTTGGTATGTTCGTACTTATAAAAAGGCTCTTTTTAGTACTCCTTTGAAAGATTTTGCATATCATTAAACTTGAAAACCTCCAGAAAGTAAAAAGTTGAAATGAAGAATGCACAAGGATAATTCTTTCTATTCTTTTTCCCTTTTCAAAAATCTATTTTCACCAAATGCCTACCTCAGACAAGAACAGAGATCAGCTTGCATGTTGAGCTTATCTTGCTCTCCATACTGTGCCAACCTGTGTGTGATGGTGAACAGCAACCATGACTTGTCTTGGGTGGAAGCTGCCTCTACAGTACTGCTTGAAAGGTACTGAGACAGTTCCTGGATATGATATCAATTCAAATGTTTAAATTTTATTAATTATCAGAACTGTTTAACCATCAAGTCCGATACAAATTAATTTAAAAGAAAGGACAAACCATCATTGCTATTTTATAGTAATTATAAAATATATATCATTGTTATTTTATAGTAATTATAAAATATATATTATTATATTACAACCATGTTAAAGTAGCTTCATCAAGGCAAATCTCACCTGCAGAACTAACACCAACTCAGATCTTGTGCTGTTCTTTGGTTTGGAACAAAGGAGANCTCACGGTGATGATGACAGCCAATGTCAGAAACTCTGAGATTTCTATGGGGAAAAAAACAGTTATTTCTCCTCAAAACTAAACTCAAATGCACATGCAACTTTATAGTTATTAATGTATCGCACATGTAGTAAAATAATTAAGAATGGAATAAAAAAAAACATTAAAAAATTGTCTGAATTATCATATCTAAAATTTTATGTAAAAAGATTTACAAAATTGTATGTAGAATTCCAAAGACAAGTTTGAAGGAATGTCCAAAGAAATGTTTAAAGATAACCTTCACTGAAACATAACTACTGAAGTGTGTAATAAAAATGGTTTGTTCTTAACATACCCATTCAAGTCATGGTCAATAATTCCATTAAATAACACAGTCACAGCTTCTCTAATGTTTCCTCCACAGCCGCCATCTTGCACAGGTTTTGGAATAAAGACGGAGTGTAGAACCCATCTGTAGTAGTCTAGTCTGGACAGAGAGAGAGAGTTGTAAATAAATGTTTACCAAAGCACAGATAGGCCAGGGGTATACTGGATGTGGCCAACAACTACAGCATAAGATAGATCAAATTATAATTTTGGCAATTTTATATAATGTACAAAAAGTGACTTGACCTTTAAATTCACTTTGACGAATCAGACTAAATGACTGACTGAATCTATCCTTCAAGAAACAACTCACAAAACAAGTGGCTTTTATTTCTCAATTTAAATATGTAACCGAGGCACGACAACAAATGTATTGTCCTTTTAGAAAAATCTTTATTCGTACTATCTACACAGCCGATCACTGGTGCATCTCACTTTGAATTACGCGCCAACCGCTTTTATAGTCCAGGGTCACATGACCCACGTGACATAAAAAGGGCGCTAACACCAGTATGCATATTCATATCACATATTTATATACAAGAGCTATTTATAATAAGGCACTTATATCAATGTACGCTACAATATACTATTACATATATATATATATTTATACCTGTGAATACATGAAATACATGTACCCTATTACAAATAAATAAATAAATAAATAAATAAATAAAGTCATATTGTCAAGCCGATTTAAGCCATGCTTTAAAAGTAAAAAACATGCAAAATGAATTGCGTTTATCATAATGAAAGCAAATGGCCACTTCCTATCACTGCAGTTCGCTTATCGATCTAACAGAAATGTTGAAGATGCAATTAATCTGTGCCTACACACTGTACTACAACACTTAGATAACAAAAATTCTTATGCAAGGATTTTATTTATTGACTACAGTTCAGCTTTTAACACAATTGTGCCAAAAAAACTATATCTGAAACTTTTAAACCATCTTAAGCTACCTGTCTTTATTTGTGACTGGATTTTAGACTTTCTTTTAGATAGAAGACAATCTGTTAAATTAAAGTCGGCTCTTTTAGCTCAAAAACAACAGTCTTAAATACCGGTGCACCACAGGGATGCGTCCTTTCACCTTGTCTTTACTCCCTTTTTACCTATGATTGTACTAGTGTAAGCGACGGGACTTTTCTCATGAAATTTGCAGGTGATACTATGCTTGTGGGGCTAGTTACTGATAACGACGAGAGTACATATAGAGAATCTGTTGAATCGGTGTTAAGCTGGTGCGAGAGTAATGATCTTATCTTGAACGTAGCTAAAACCAAAGAAATGATAGTGGATTTTAGAAGGAATCAGAATGTAAAGGTACCACTCACCATTGGTAATGTTGAAGTTAGTAGAGTAGAGGAATTTAAACTACTAGGTATACACCTTAACAGTAAATTGAATTGGAAAGATAACACCGCAAAGAGTGTAAAGAAGGCACGACAAAGACTGTATTTTTTAAGATCATTGAGAACTTTTACTGATAGCGTGCCTATTTTAGTCAATTTTTACAGGTGTGTAATTGAAAGCATTCTAGCGTACGGAATTATAATATGGTATAGTGGAACAGCTGGGGAGGAAAGGAAGAAATTAACAAACATTGTAAAAACTGCAAGCAGGATTATTGGGCAGGATGATATTTTTAAAGACAGGATGGAGAAAAGAATTGTCAACACCATGAAAGACTCTTTCCATCCTGCAACATCTCTTTTTACTTTTTTACCAAGCAACAGTAGACTTTTAACTTTTAAAGGCAGTAAACGCTTTTTAAACAGCTTTTATCCAAGTGCAGTGACGCATTTTAATTTGATCTCAAAACTAAATTCTTAATTTATTTATTTATTGTATTATTTTATTATTTTACTCTGTATATTGCTCCAAAAGGAAAATGATTTCCGATTTTTATAATTGGCTAAATAAACTCTTATCTTATCTTATCTTATCTACGGAATCAGTGTGCAGGGATATTAGAGAGTTCTACCACTACTCATACCTCTGTAATTCATCCAGGCAGTCCTCTGAGGGTTGAACCTGTAGCTCTAGCCCCACCCAGTCTCTTAATTTAAACTGGCAAATTTAAAAAAAAAAAAAAATTTTTTTTCATATCATATAACTTATGTTTAAACATTCAATTCTCAGTAGTTGCAAATGAATTAAAGCATGAGAAACAAACTTCCTAAAATATAACTACACTTTTAACTTTTAAAAAGTTAAGGAAAATACTTTTAGTTAAAAAATTAATTCTTTAAAACTTTGAAATATTTTCCACTACATAAAGTGGCTTTATATGGCCATTTCTTCTTTATCATCTTAATATCCTAAAAACAATCAATTGACTACAAAAATAAATTCTAAGCAAATCTATTGACCATAAAATTTCATGAATATCCCCCCATTATAACATATAACACACAATCAAGGCGTTTCTCTGTACCTGGGTTAAGCCAAGAAGTTCCTGCACTTTGCCAGACCTGTACAGTCCCACAACAAGTGCTTCAAATGTCTCTGTGGAGAGGAGAACATCTCCAAACATACGACAGCTTCTCCTGGCTGCAGCATAGCATCTGGGAACCAGGAAGGAGAGCTACAACACAAACAAAATGTAGAATGTATTACCTTTAAAAATTACTGAATATTTTAAAGAAAAAGAGAGATAAATAATTATGGTTTAATACTTTAAAAAGAAGCTTATTGCTCATTGCATGTTGAATTTGCTCTCTTTATTAATAGTATAATTAAAGCTTGTATGGCATAAATAAGAAGTAAAGCACTGCTGTTTCTTTGCATGAAAACAATTTTCAATAAATATTTTCATAGAATAACAAAATATTTTTAAAAACTTCACCAACCCTAAAAGCCCTGATATATCAGATATTCAATATAAAGATTTTTTTAAAATTTGAACTGCATACCTTGACTAAGAGAGATGCTGGTATTACAGCTGACTTGGCATCCATGTAGAACAAATAAAACTGGGTGCGACTCTCTAACGCATGCTTCAGGTAATATGTTATGAGCCTTAAAAATTGAGAAAAAAATGTCCTCCAAACATAATGGAGAGAGAGAGAGAGAGAGAGAGAGAGAGAGAGAGAAGGAATGAGAGATGTATGATTTACATGTGCCATGTTCAAAATGTTTAACTTTCTCAGTTGAAGAAGCAAAAGCAAACTTTTAGGAGCTCATAATGGCAATTGACGGGTCTTGCACTGAATAAATAATCTACAAGAAAGTTGGGATTTCCTGCTCCTGATTCAGTAAAGCCATCAACAAGATTATTAAGTTTTCAAAGACTCGTCTGATATATTTTCATCAAATATTTCTCTCTATGGCAGCTAGGACAACAGAAGACATCTTGCACCCATTACCTTAAACAAAAGTTCATCTCGCGACCAGAGATCAAGGTCAGTCCCTGGATCATCTCCTCCACTAATCCAGCTGTGGTCAGACTGACTGCACTGCCCCCTAGTGTGACCTGTGTAAACAAGTGTTCCTGGCTGGCAAGGTGAACCAGAAATGCTGCTATACCTGCCGTGTGGTACTCTGTCAGGGTCAGACTCTAGGAGATAGAATAATAATAATAATTACAATAAATGTTTGCTATAAAATAAATTAACAACAAACAATTGAATTAAAATGTGCTAATGAATAAATAAATAAATAAATAAATAAATAAATAAATAAATAAATAAATAAATAAATAAATATAATGAAAAAATTACAATCATCATATTGTCCATACATTTTGGCTTTTCAAAAAAAAAAAAAAAAATGGAACAAAAAATCATTTTTACTACAGTACTTGAATCAAGCCTAATATCATCCTTTCAGAGAAAGAGCCTGTTCTTGCTCAATGTACAGAGAATCATCCCCCTAACAACCCCCTGACCTGTCTGTGTAGCAGCCAGTACACTCTGGTGAAGAGGGCAGTATGAAGTGACCTCTGTCCACTCAGCATGCTAATGAAGGGAGTACACCAGGTGTAGTGACCAGCTGCACTCAATGCCACGCCCTGACAGAATGTTTCCAGGAGCTTGTCACAGATCTGGAATTGCACAACAACAACAACAACAATAATAATAAAGATAATACCAGGGGCGGAACCAGAGCTATTTTCTGAAAGTCTTCCACATTGTCTTTCCTGATCCGTCCTCCATTTTTGACCATCTTTCGACAGAAAAATAAATAAAGACCCAGAAGACAGCCTCAAACCGCCCCCGAATACATTCCTCTTATTTAAAGCAATTAATCAGTCATTATATTATAGAAAACAATTTCTGAAACAATTGTAAGAATGAAAGTAAATGTAATAATTTATCAAAAATTTTAATTAAAGATATGTAGAGAGGAATTCCTAAAACCCTGCATACTTGCTTTGTCTTTCTTTCTTTCTTATTGTAATCATTTTTTCCCTTTCTGTATCTTTTTTTTTGTGGAGGGTATGGGATCTTTAAGCCATAATGCCTTTCTCCACACTGATCTACAGTATATGGCCCTATTCAGAATAGGGGACTAACTAGTCCTTGGGTCAAATATGGCCGACTTACTTGAATACTTCCCCACGGGATGTCTATTCAGTGTTATTTGCAGAAAAGGTGGCAAGCTTTGTAGTGGGTCGCCATATTTAACCCTGGGACTACTTTGTCCCCTATTCTGAATGGGGCCTATGATACCTTAACTTCCCTAGGGTCCAGCTGTGGGCAGTTAACGTCCAGTCTGACAACACCAGTGTCTGAAGGCACACCCTCCAGACCAGTGGTCAGGGAGTCCAGTTTGCCAGCAATACCGGACAGGAGAGAGGATGTGTCTGAAAAATTTATGGATTTTTCTTTCTTCAATTTTTTCTTTCATCTTTGTACATTTAAACACATCTCATGGTTATTGAACTTAAAATCTTGTCTGTGAACCAAAGTGAAAAGGCCCTACTTATGGATAGGTACTCAAGGTTCAGAACCTGAATTTTCTGTTTCTGCTTGTTTCTGGCTTGAAAAAAAGTGTCTGTCTTTTACATGACAGTAAATAAAAACATCCAATATGCTGGTTAGAGGAGTTGCTGAGTATTTACCAGTTTTCCCCTGATTCACACTCTCTACAAACTGGTCTAGACTGTGCTGTAACTGCTCCAGCGGGTCCAACAAAAGTGAATCCATGGAGTCCTCATCAGAAAATACACCTTCAAATAAGTATGACAATTAGTCATCAAATAAAACCATATCTTAAAACTTTTCTGATATCAATATATCTTCCAAAAAGTAGAGTTTATTTAACATCAGTGCTTTCTTGTTGATGGGCAAGATATCTAAAAATTTCCTGACAAATTTTGATGAAATATTTTGGAACAGATTCAGTAGAGAAAGAAATGATGGCAACTTCAACTGTGTCTTCTAGGTGTAATATTTGAAAATTAAACAAATTTTTTTGACATTTTCCTTGACAAAAGTCTCAACTCTTGATTATGACATTTATTGCAGTTATCTTTATCATCACTGTGTTCATTCTACAAACCATTACCTTCCAGAAGCTTCTGAGCCTCTCTCTTGCAGGCCTCTTCATAATTCGAGAACATGGTCGGCGGAATTTTCTCTGCTCTGAGGTTAACAAATGATGAATGACGACAACTCATAAGCTGATACAATACTTTAAATCTTGCAGGTTTTTCCTTTCAGCCAATAATTTGAATCAATAATTACATAGTGTAGATCATTATTTATACAGCAGTCAGCCAAAGATAAGAACTATGTCTTATTTTGTCAAGCATATGACTACTTTTAATTTCTTTCACCATGGTATATAAAATATCCTTCAGAATTCAACAGAACAATAATGTGGATGAATGTCACATAATTTTTCCTCAAATACATCATTTAAGAAGTGGTCATTCTTACCTGTATAGGGCATTGATAAACTGCATTTTTGTATCTGCTGACTCTGGTAGCTAAAATAAATTATTATTATGAAAAAGTTGTTTTAAAGAAAAAAAAAACACCACATGGCACGAAATACACTAGGTAGCTGTCATATTGCCTGCATAAAATTTAGTAAAAGAATTTTTTTTTTTGCTTAACTGCCTCATAGGTTTGATTTGACAAGATATGTTTTAGCTTATCACCCACAGTGAAAAAAAAGTAACTTTATATTCTCTCATCAAATATGAATCATTTATTTATATTAAAATTAGAGGTAGGGAAACCTCTGATGACTGAACATTTTTACTGAGTCATCACAGGTTCAGAAGGTTCAAACACTTACAGGTCTTGGTGTCAGTAATGCTGGCAGGAATCTTCCAACATAGTATGGCTTTCGAAATATGCTTAAGTAGAAATAAAAAGTTGTAAAAAAATAGGTGTGTTTAAGAAAACAAGTTTAATAACTTTAAAGGGGTAAACAAACCAAAGTAAAGTGCTATCATAGTTGTGGAGATGATGTAAGAATGGCGTTTAAAAGGATTTATCTTAACAAATCATCACAATTACATGTGTATATAATTCATCAAAACATAATTTTAACTTTGTTTTTTTTATCCCATTTATGCATTGGTAGCAGTATTACGCTCAGCTGTCCTCGAAAACAGCTTGCCTGCACAATTCATTCTCTGTGCGCATGCTTTTTATTATTACTACTACTACACATATCACAACTACCAGATCAAACCAGTGTGGCCATGACATTATCTCAATGCACGAATCTCCAAACATTTTATTTGGAGTGTTTGATGTTGTGAAAGTGGTGTTTTTGTATATCATTTCCAACTAAAACCACTTTGTATGCCCATTTAATGTCCCACCAAACATTTTATAAAACTTCAATTTTAATATCTTGGACATTATATTTTTCTTATTTCATCTTATGTAATTCTGCTTTGACTTTGGGGAGACATTTTGCTGTGATGTCACAAAAAGATGAAGGTGTATCCCACCTTGCCTCCATTACACTAGATGGCACTTTCCCTGTCTTCTCAAAGGCACGGAGGGCAACGCCAACATCCCTCTCCAGCTGTTGCTTTTGCTGAAATACAAAAAAAAAAGTTTCTTCCACAAAAGAAAAAGAAACCTATAATAGTATTAATGTTACAATGTATTCACAGAATTCTAACAAAAAAGATGCTATATATTCACCATGATTTAAAAGTCCAAATTTCATAAAACAGGTATGGGACAATGTTTGTGAAGGAAGCAGTCCTTAAAGAAGCAATTCTCATCTGTAGATTTTTGGTTCCAAACACAGGTTCTAATAAGGCTTATCATAAAACAAGGAATCCTGCACAGTCAGGTATGGAACACAAAAGTTTTAGCAATCAAACCTACTGATGTCCCATCACAACAGCATCATTCCCCTACCTCCAACTTATCCTTGCTTGTAGTTGCATCAGAATATAAAGCTTCAGATTCTAAAGATTCCTGAAACAAAATCACAAAATAATTTAAACAAATAAAAAAAATAATTACTGAAAATGCTTTTTAAATATCAAATTGAATATGATTAATCAAACATGATAGTGTGGAAAAATAAAATTTAATTTCTGGAAATACACATTCTGTGGTGAAATAAAATTAAAATTTCAAAGCAAAATACAGAACCTATGAAATCAGCATGTCAAATCACAAACCTTTAGATCTGAGAGTCTGGTCTTCGCTAGCGTGACATAGTCTGCATAAAATGGCCGACATTTCCCAGGAACAAACGGAGGATGGAGGATGTGGACCTAAAGGAAAAAAAAAAAAAAAGAAGACAGATAAAGATAAATACTTTGTTTATTGAATTAAACTATAATTTAGCTAATATAAAGCATTATGTTGACCAAAAATTCCTTTCTTTGGAACAAGTAATTGTACCTGAGAATTAGGCTAGTGTACAAGCATTTGCAGGGAATCTTACCTTTAGGTACTGAGCCTCTTCAAATGGCACAATGTCAGTGAGAAATTTCATGAGGAACACAAATGATTTCTTGCTGTTAGCTGGCGACCTTGAAGCATCTCCAAAAGTCTCCTATATAAAAAATAAAACGAAGAACTTAAATGAAAATAGATAAACAAATAATAAAAGGGATACTTTGTTTTAAGCAAGATATTTTTAAGGTAAAACTTAACGTCAATGTGTTTTCACATAAAAATCAAAATTATTTAATAAAATCAATGAGCAGGCCCGTAGCCAGGGGGGTTCGGGGGGTTCGAAAGAACTGCCCTTTTTGTCAGGAAAAGGTCCATTTTGGGTAAAATTTTATCTTGGTACACATAAGTTTCATTGTAAAAGGTCCACTTTTTCAGAAAAAGAACCCCCCTTTTGAATTTGCTGGCTACGGGCCTGATGAGTCAATGACAATATCATTGTATTAAACACTCATAAAACAAAGATTACTGCATTCAAATGGAAAGCATTTTTCATAATACAGACTGCTGTTAATGGGGAACACAAAACATACCATGAATTTAGATTTTAATTTCATTTAAACTAGTGTACGACACACACAGACACGCATGCACGTAAACACATGCACATGCACATACAGACAGTTATATGCACATGCACAAGCATGCGCACACACCTGAAACCATTCCCTGTAAGAGGGAAAAATATGTGGGCCTTCTAGACATCCTTGTCTCACTAACACAAAGGCTGTCACGATGGAATCCACATCAGAATTCTCTAGGGCTTGGTTTACAAGGTCACCAACAATGCCTGAAAGTGGCAATAAAGTAACTCATTTGAGTGCAGAGAAAAAGATTTAGGGCCAATATAAAACAAGATATTTAATACTTTGATGTACCAGCATAAACTTACTGAAAGCCCTAAATTAATTCTAAAGAGACAAAACAAGTATTTTAAGAAAAAAAAAAAAGCAAAGCTGTCAAATGAACACACAAAAAGCCGAAAATGATGCACAAAATAGGTTTCTGTAAATTCTGATGCAATATTTCATGATGCTTAGCAGCATAGTCAACGCATCTGTGTCTGTACATAAAAAAAGAAAAAACCTAAGTCTATTTTATAAATATTTACTTTCTTACCATCATGAATCATAAAAGACAAGGCCAAAACTAATTCACTACAGAAAACTTCTTGCATAATTTTTTTAATTTTCTGCCAGGAATTCTCCAAAATACTTTCTTTAGTGTAGTACATTAAAAGTGGTGGGAAGTTACTTAATCATGTTAAAAGCTAAAAAGAAATGCACCACATTTTTCGTACCTTTGACATATCTGGGAGCCTCCTCGAAACATACCAGCAGTGTTGAGAGACAGGTCAGCACAGAATGCCAATTTACCTCCTGATTGGCCAATATACGCAGAAGAAGACTGGTTGCTTCTTTAACGTCAAACACAACCAACAGCTACAAAAATTATTGAAATTTCTCTCAATATAACTAAAACATGCAAATATTAACCAAGTTAAAGGTACTGAAAAACAAAATATCAGCAAGAAATGAAAATTTAAATGAGAGAGAGAGAGAGAGAGAGAGAGAGAGAGAGAGAGAGAGAGAAATGGAAGAGGACTGAGCTAGAAAAGACAAAGGGACCAACTACAGCAAGAAAATGTACCTTTTTGTAAGTATTGATTTCGTCAGCAGAAGTCAGAGAGAAAGTCCACTTGGACTGCTGCCTCAAGGCTTCAGACACTGTAAAATAGGTTTAAACTAGTTAAAAGACAACTCTATACAAAATATTAATATGGAAGACCAACTGAGCACCTGTTAAACATTGAACATTACTTTTATTTTCTTTTTAATAGAAGAACAGGTCAAGTCAGGTACAAATCTCATTCTGCACGTGATAACTTCTCAGAGGATTTCACAAACAACTCAGTTTTAATTAATAGAGATAAATAAAATAAATAAATAATAATAACTAAATACCCCCCCCACTCACCTTTCAAAGATGGGTTGTGACCTAACACACCACACAACACACGTGTTGAGAATTTCTGTTGAGTAACCATGGTTACAGATTCAGTGCTACTACAATGTTCAAGAAAACGAACAAAAGCTCTGCCTTGGTCTTTACGAAGGTCTAATAATTCTGAAACATGAAACATTGACAATATGAAGCTCAGTATGGAAGTTTAGAAAGTTGAGGAACCCACCTGCAGACCTAATATATTTGGAGATTTGAGACAAAAAATAATACTTTATTCAGCCATTGTATAGATCTATTATAAAATACACGTAAAATGGATAAAACAGGTACTATTACATTACTACTACAGGTGTAAAAAATTAAACAAGACTGGCTCATACATGTAGTTTTAACTAAAATTCTACTGTTTTTGTACAGCATGAAGAAGAGATATGGCACTGGGATGATAACATTTTAAAAAATCTTTTGCTTGAAAGTCTGCTTTTGCTTGGAAAGAATTCAGAAAGTCCATCAGCAGGTTAAAACATATCTATCATAACCTTTCCTGTTTTAGATGCTACTTACTTTGTATTGACCACTTACTTTGTATTGCATTATCCAGCACAGCCAATGAGATCTGAAAAATATGTTTTGATTTATTTTTAATTTGTCCTAATTCTTCACACTATGCAGATAGATTTCAGTCAATCTTTTGTTCACATATATCAAATATTTAAATATCAGACATAATTAGAATTTTGCCTATATCTACACATTTTGGCATTTTTTAACTGTAGTGTACCTTTTTTACACCAGATGTCGCCTCTGTCTCTGTGTTTCTGTCACTGTAAGCCTGCTGTACAAGGTAACTCGACAGATCTGAAACAAATCATACAGCTATCAGACTCAATTGTAGAACTCTTGCATATTATTGTTTTATTCAATAAAAAGAAAAATATTCTCTATTTCATAACCTTGGTTACTTTTGGTGGAATATAGCTTTTTTATTGTCTTCTGCGTAATGATGATAAAAAGTAAATTGTTTCTTATTAAAAGACACTAACTGTGTCATTTTCTATCTATAGGCATGAGGCATTTAGTCCTTTTACAAAACATTTACTATTTTCANCAACAGCTACAAAAATTATTGAAATTTCTCTCAATATAACTAAAACATGCAAATATTAACCAAGTTAAAGGTACTGAAAAACAAAATATCAGCAAGAAATGAAAATTTAAATGAGAGAGAGAGAGAGAGAGAGAGAGAGAGAGAGAGAGAGAGAGAAATGGAAGAGGACTGAGCTAGAAAAGACAAAGGGACCAACTACAGCAAGAAAATGTACCTTTTTGTAAGTATTGATTTCGTCAGCAGAAGTCAGAGAGAAAGTCCACTTGGACTGCTGCCTCAAGGCTTCAGACACTGTAAAATAGGTTTAAACTAGTTAAAAAACAACTCTATACAAAATATTAATATGGAAGACCAACTGAGCACCTGTTAAACATTGAACATTACTTTTATTTTCTTTTTAATAGAAGAACAGGTCAAGTCAGGTACAAATCTCATTCTGCACATGATAACTTCTCAGAGGATTTCACAAACAACTCATTTTTAATTAATAGAGATAAATAAAATAAATAAATAATAATAACTAAATACCCCCCCACTCACCTTTCAAAGATGGGTTGTGACCTAACACACCACACAACACACGTGTTGAGAATTTCTGTTGAGTAACCATGGTTACAGATTCAGTGCTACTACAATGTTCAAGAAAACGAACAAAAGCTCTGCCTTGGTCTTTACGAAGGTCTAATAATTCTGAAACATGAAACATTGACAATATGAAGCTCAGTATGGAAGTTTAGAAAGTTGAGGAACCCACCTGCAGACCTAATATATTTGGAGCTTTGAGACAAAAAATAATACTTTATTCAGCCATTGTATAGATCTGTTATAAAATACACGTAAAATGGATAAAACAGGTACTATTATATTACTACTACAGGTGTAAAAAATTAAACAAGACTGGCTCATACATGTAGTTTTAACTAAAATTCTACTGTTTTTGTACAGCATGAAGAAGAGATATGGCACTGGGATGATAACATTTTAAAAAATCTTTTGCTTGAAAGTCTGCTTTTGCTTGGAAAGAATTCAGAAAGTCCATCAGCAGGTTAAAACATATCTATCATAACCTTTCCCGTTTTAGATGCTACTTACTTTGTATTGACCACTTACTTTGTATTGCATTATCCAGCACAGCCAATGAGATCTGAAAAATATGTTTTGATTTATTTTTAATTTGTCCTAATTCTTCACACTATGCAGCTAGATTTCAGTCAATTTTTTGTTCACATATATCAAATATTTAAATATCAGACATAATTAGAATTTTGCCTATATCTACACATTTTGGCATTTTTTAACTGTAGTGTACCTTTTTCACACCAGATGTCGCCTCTGTCTCTGTGTTTCTGTCACTGTAAGCCTGCTGTACAAGGCAACTCGACAGATCTGAAACAAATCATACAGCTATCAGACTCAATTGTAGAACTCTTGCATATTATTGTTTTATTCAATAAAAAGAAAAATATTCTCTATTTCATAACCTTGGTTACTTTTGGTGGAATATAGCTTTAAAGACACTAAGAGCGCATTCTCAACGAATTAAGCCAGGCTTTACAAAGCCGGTGACCTAAAAATGGCGGACGTACATGAAAGAAAAACCGCCTAATCTTTTNAAAATGTTTTTCTGTTGAAACACTGCTCAGACATTAAATTCACCATCACTTGAACCAAGACTTCAACATCTTCCTGAAATAGATATAAAATGGAAGAAATCAGTAAGCAGCATTTTCTAAATACTTTTACTTAATACTTGCTTTCTGAAAATATTCTAAGTCACTGGGCACAAAGCTTACAGTAACCTAACTTAGTAAAGGTCAGCAGTTCATTTTGATAAGAATGACTAAAAAGAGCAATTTTTAAAAACTAAATAGCAAATTCATTTACAAATTTAAAGCTAGCCTGAACATTAAAACTGAGAACATGTGTCAATTCTGAAAGATTAAAAAAATGCTATGAAAGTTTTTGCAAGGAATTGACAGTTTTTCCAAACTGAATCTAAAATATCACTTACCCTAGTCACTGTATCTAAAAGCAGCAAACAGTCAGTGTTCTGGATGATATTCAGGAGTTGTGAGGCACATATGGTTGCCGTGGTCAGTCCCGCGCTGATGGTTTGCTGAGCTTTCTCCTTCACCCACGACACACAGCTGTCGACTGAAATAATATAAAATATACTCTTACTTTGCAACAAAAACTTTTTAGCCTACTGTCCCAGGAGCTATGAATCTACAGTGACCAGTGACTAAAAAAAAATTAATAATATGTAATTTTCCTGATGTGTTGCTGAGGGCCATGTTAGTGTCACACATTACATCTGACTGGAAATACTGAGTATCTGTGCAATGTTCAGTAACCTCTTTCATTTCTCAGTGCACTGACTACTGTGACCAATTAACCTCGTAGTTTGATGAAATTACTAGTTTCAACTATGACCGGCACTTTTTGCTAACTTCTCAGACTGATACTTTTATGTCAACAACTAGAAAAGCACTCCGAGAGCGCAGACCTGCGCCAAGGCAGCAATTTTTCATTATTACTGATTATTGATTGATTATTGATCCAAATCACCACCAAAAACTAATCATCTCTTCCTTGGCCCACTTCTGACAGTTCCTGAAAATTTCATCAAAATCGGCCCATAACTTTTTGACCTATGTTAATGACAGACAGACAGACAGACAGACAAACAAACAAACAAATAAACAGAAAAAACGGGAGTGAAAACATAACCTCCTTGGCAGAGGTAACAACAACAACAACAACAAAATACCTGAAAATGCTGTGTTTGGTGTACTAGTAGAGTTGCTCCCTTTGTCTTCAGCAGGAATAGTGCCCGTATTACTCTGCAGCAGAGATCCATGGGGATGTCTCACAGCTGGTCTTGCCTGGGAAAATTAGTGCAGTTTACAATGAATTTATTGTTATTAGGTTCACTATACAGGTTCACTTTAATGGATTCTAAGTGAATGGTTGCTTCACCATTAGGAAATATACTAATTAAAAATAATTGAATGATTATTTTTTAAAAGTGCAATTAAAATGAAAAAAAATAAATAAATAAACAAGTAAATAGAAATAAAACTCAAACATACATTTTTTAAAGTGCATTAGCAACATAAATATTAATAATTCTAAACAAAATTAATATATATACAAAAGGTAGATTTACCAGCAGGATGCACACATAATGGTATATTTTGTAATATATTATAATTAATTACAATATATTATAATTAATTACCTCTTTCACAAGGAAATCTAAGTCTTGGTGCTGGATGATAAGCTGAACAACTGCTTCATGAAGATCTTCATTTACAGACTCTGTGGAGCGGCCTTCTCTGGATTTCCTTCGGGATGCTGAAATACATGTAGTGATGTGATGTGTGAAAGCAGACCTTATAAATAAATTTCCATGTGTGAAAGTTGTAAAAACTGAAAATGCTGAAAACATAGGCTGTAATTTCTCATCGTGTGTTTCACTGAGTTCATATGAAAACAAACAAACAAACAAAAATAATAAATAAATAATAAAAAAACAACAACAATCAGACTAAAAATCCCAAACATGTACCACTTCAGAACCAATTGGGCTCACCTAGAGGTCATTATGATTTCTTTTTTGGGGTGGGGGTGGGGGGGGGGATGGGTGGGCAGTATACCAGTACTTTATTGGTTGTACTGTATGGATCGAGTACACTGTACCAGTATATTCAATTGGTACTGGTAATATGGCAGTTTATATAACAATTGTTTTCAAGTACTAGAGTAATTCTAATAGGTGCTTTTGCACTATGGTAGACTAGTGTGCCGTTCAAAAGTCGCATTATGTGAATTTTAAGTTCATCGGCTAACATATGATCGTGGTTAAATACGGTACATGCATTTCTATTAAAATTAAATAGTCTCCAGAGGTCAGTCGTTTTATCTTGACAACATAATTGTCAAATGATGAATTAGGCTAAATTATACCAACCAATAAGTCTTTTAAACTGTGTCTCTGTAGATATTTCATCCTTCGAGGAAGATGACTTAAAATCCATTTTATTCAACGAACTCTTCTTTAACCACCTCTTTCATTTCTTGCGCCCTATTCTTGTATTGCTACTTTCCCAATGACCCGGAACGATTTCTATAGATATAGTAATATAGTAATTAAATATTTTAAGCAAATTTCAATATCAATTGGTTTAAAATCGAATCTCAGGGAGTAAAATATATTCTGAGTTTGTTTTGAATATTACTTGTATAAAAACATGAACATTTATAGTACAGTACCGTATTTTTTATGTGCTCTAATATCATCCAATCACCGAGCAAGCTCAATTAACTGCGGATTGGAGTTGTGGAAGCCGAAGCAAAATGTCGACTTTCGCAACGAAAGCGCTCACTCACGCTCAAGAAGTCTGCCGGCTTTACAGGGCATGTATGAGAAGGATTATAAGGGATAATCATAATAGGTAAAATGAAGAACGAAATTCATAACATAAATATACTGTCAGTTGGATAATTGTACGAAGAAAGCCATGCACTTTGCGCTCTTGCGACCTTGCAAGACACAGAAACTCGATCGCTTTTTATCTTTCAAAATTGAGCATTGTGTTTATAACTTTAATTTGAGCGCAAAGGAATTTGTTGACTTAAAGGTATTTTGAGTTATTTTAATTTGATCGATCCACTTAATACCATTAGAGACTGTGTACCAAAATTACTAGTACAATTGGTATAATTTACAATTTATACCACATAATTTAACAAACCCATATGATATAGTACCAATTCAATATGTGAAATATGTATCTGAAACATTAGCCACGTCTTCCTTTTCATAAAATAAACAAAATACATAGACTCAGTAGACTTGTACTGGGCTCCGTATCTTGCTCACGTGCGCAAGTGTCTCGATTCCATGGCCCCGTATCTCGTAATAGAATCGGTTATGGAATCGAGACACTAACGCACATGCGCAACATAGCGAACCTTTCGAGATTCAGAGCCCAGATCTGTCCCAGGTCACAGTTAACTCAAGGCACATTATATATATATCTAAAGTGGATGAAGGTTATCCTGTGCTACCCTAGCTTCAACACTTTTTGATAACTTTTAGACTTCAAATTGATTAGAAGAAGGATTATTATGTACAGACACAGATGTGTCTGTACATATTGCCATCACCTGCGTCTGTCGTCGCCGTCGCCGTCGCCGTCGCCGATGCCGATGCCGGCGCCGTGCACTTTCCTTGTAAACACAATAAGTGGAGGGCAGTTTTACTTTTTGGCTTAATATTTACAAAGCTGATGAATATTCATAAAACGCAGGTCAAGTTCGAAAACCAGCATGATCAGGCCATTATTGTAGAAGTTATGCTGTTTTTTCACTTTTCAGCATATATGCAACCCTGTAAACACATTTTAAGGAAAACCGTTAGGCCTGTTGTCATGAAACTCACAGGAGTAATCAATCTTACTAAAACGCAGGTCAAGTTCGAAAATCGGCATGATCGGGCCACTATTTTAGTAGTTATGCTGNTGCACGTGTGCAACATAGCGAACCTTTCGAGATACAGAGCCCAGATCTGTCCCAGGTCACAGTTAACTCAAGGCACATTATATATATATATCTAAAGTGGATGAAGGTTATCCTGTGCTACCCTAGCTTCAACACTTTTTGATAACTTTTAGACTTCAAATTGATTAGAAGAAGGATTATTTTTTTTTTACTTACAAGTTCAGTAGAGATATGGACCATTTTGTGTTTGCTAATGATTTATAATATATCATATGTGGACTTCTTTTTTGTCAGGCATATCTATATTTTTTCCTTTCCTGCAGGCTTGACATGCGCTATAAATGTGTTGTACTAAGAGCAATGTTTGAGGAGACCAGGAATATAAAGGATCAGGAGACTGCAGTTAACTTACTCAGGAAATGGCAACTTTATCTTTTAGAGTTAGATGGGCATCCAGAAAGAGGATGTAAGTTAACTGCAAGGATATTAAAGAATGAGTGAATGGTTTAAATCATCCAGTGGAATAAGAACGAGAAATAGGTATAAATCAAAGTCTGGAACTAGCACTGAGCAACTAACTGATGTTGCTGTCGACCTGACACTTTTTGCTATGTAATGGCCTGGATGGACTGGTCACATGATTTATTAATGTATGGTTACAAATAATGTCCAGCGCCAAGTCCAATATGTGTGAGAGGTGAAACCTGAGGCATTGGGGAGGGTCCGTTTTTTAGGAATGTTGTGGGGTTAGGGGCCCACCAAAGAGCCCGAAAAATTTTTGGTATTTTAGAGGGCGAACAGTGCCATTTGGTCTGGTTTAGCACTGTGATTCAGCTAGTCAAAATTGTAATTTCAAGAAGGGACCATTGGTGTGA